TGAAAGTCGTCCCGACCTCCATGCCTGCTGCCAAGGAGGCAGAGGGCACCAGGGACAGGAGGCAGAGGGCAACAGGTGCAGCTTTAGAAGCCCGGGTAGCTGAAAGTCGTCCCGACCTCCGTGCCTGCTGCCAGCTTTCGGCTTCCCGGGCTTCCAAATCCCCTCCGCTGCCCTCTGTCTCCCGTCCCCGGTGCCCTCTGCCCCCTGTCCTCCTGTCCCACGATGACAGGAGGCAGAGGACAGTGGCACCAGGGACAGGAGGCAGAGGGCAACAGGTGCAGCTTTAGAAGCCCGGGTAGCTGAAAGTCGTCCCGACCTCCGTGCCTGCTGCCAGCTTTCGGCTTCCCGGGCTTCCAAATCCCCTCCGCTGCCCTCTGTCTCCCGTCCCCGGTGCCCTCTGCCCCCTGTCCTCCTGTCCCACGATGACAGGAGGCAGAGGACAGTGGAGGGGATTTGGAAGCCAGGAAGCCAAAAGCCGGCAGCGGGGACAGAGGTTGGGGCGGCTTTTGGATTCCCAGACTTCCAAAGCTAACCCCTCTGCCCTCTGCCTCCTGTCCCCATTGCCCTCTGCCTCCTTTCCCCACAGGGATGGGAGGCAGAGGGCAGCGGGGCGGCTTTGAATTTCCCACGCTTTCCCCCTGCCTATCGTAGGTCGAAGCTCTACTTAGAGAGGAACTGACATCTACTTAGAGAGGAACTGACATCAAATCAATGATCCCTCTCTAGCGCAATTGACTATATTACGCAACAGGATTTTGGCCCAAGTCTTAAACCCACTATCAGCCTGCCCCCACTTGCAAATTGACAGCACACATGGACAATGCTTCTCCTCCATTACATATGTGCAGTGGCTACTGCATTATTTCCTCACCAAGAAATAATGTACAGGGTCAGGCATAGGCAGAACATTCAGCTGGAATACTCCACAAATTATCAAATATGTCAGTGGTTCCCAACCTTGGATAACCTCGATGTTCTTGGACTACAACTCCCAGAAACCCTGGCCAGCGCAGCTGGCGGTGAAGGCTTCTGCGAACTCCAGTTCAAGAACTCTTGGGTTATCCAAGGCTGGTAACTTCTGAAATATAGCCTTACTATTCCCTGGGAGTCACTCATTTAATTCACTCAGCTTTATGTATTAAACTGGACATTCTGGACCACACCAAGTGAGCATTTAATATTTTTATGTTTGTAGTATGCCAACAATTCCAACATCCACACCACAGTGGGAGAAGCAATTTAGAAACCACATACGTCTGTGATTTGGGCCATTTGGAACAGGAAGTGCATTGGCCTTATAGCTCTTTCTCACAGAAGAGGATGAAAGGAGTGGGGGAGCCCAATTTACTTCTCCCACCTTAAGTAAGCTGCATCAATATACCACACACAGCTCTAAGCATCTGGAGGGTAAGCAAATTGGTGAGGAGACAGCTCAACACTGTACTTCTAATAGAGGAAGTAAATGAGGCTTCCCTTAGGAACTCATCAAAATCTTGAAGAAGTTTTAAAAACTTTATTTCCCCACCCACCCAACTTGGTTTTGGGTCTTGAGAAGGCACTGAAGAAGGTTTCTCTTTGAACTTCCCTGAAATAACTGCTTGTAGCAGGAAAGCACTCTGCTTGCATAGCAATTAGAAGGGATGGCCTTCAGTGAAAATCCACAAGATTTTCTTCGTAATGGAAGTTTTGTCCAGTTCAGTAGGGTCTTCATCTCAAGTAGGCAGGTGTAAGGTTTGAAGCCATGCTGCTGCTGGAGCCTAATCCAGATACTTGCTCCTAAGATACCATGCACAAAATCCTAGCCGCTGGGAGTAGGAAACCCATTCAAGAGCAAACCTCAACTGGATTCAATGAATTTCCTGTTTTCATGTGAAGATTATCTTTCAACTTTAGGTGCCCAGAGCTTCACCTTTCTAGACAATTTCTTTTTCTTTTCTTTGGAACCTTTGGTTCTAAAGTCAGGGGATTTTTGTGGGTAGGATAGATCATGCAGAAAATATTCAGTGGTAGAGACAATGTGGCGGCAGAAAGTGTCTAAAGGAGACGTGCAAAGCTGGAAATGACAAAGCTAGGGAAGCATGGAAAGAAAAGGTGCAAAAAATCCATGTGATGGCTGAAAAAGTCATACCATTATGATCTAAAAGAACAGTCAAGAGATTTTTTTAAAAATGCATAGAGCACTGTGCCCTTTTCAACAGAATGAATTTGCAAGATTCTCTCCTTTCCCTGCAATCTTGCAAAGTTGCTGACATGCAGTTTGGTATGCATGAGATTCCAAAACAACCAACTCAGTTTACTGTCATTAAATCACCACATATTTAGAGAGAGAGAAAAGCAGCTAGTTGTTTCAGGTCCTCTGGACTTGGCTTTTCCCCACTTTCATTTCTTCCTTCCAGAGTTCTTTCTCTCTCACTTCTCCCCACCCCTTTTTCCTTGTAGGAAATTTAGTTCTAGGGAATAGGCTATATACATTTACCATAATTTAATCCCACTTCTTGCAGATTTGGGTTTAAATTCAGATATACTGTACTTAAGACTGACCTATTGACACTTTGTTTCATGAACCATCTAAATGAAATGCAACAGTCCGTGGAAAAATGCAGACTGCTGTGTTAAGTCCAAAATCTAATGGCAAGCAGTATCTTTCTTCATGACATCTACACACCAGTAGTGTGTAAGATTTTGAGTTTGGGAGAGCTCAAAACCTGAACTGTGCTGTGAAATTACAGCTGTCCCTAATACAAATATTGTTCATCTGTGGACTTTAGCTTTCGTTTTGCAAAAAATTAGTGCCAGCACCAAATTTTTCCAAACTAAGGTAAGGTATTATCCTTCAGTTAAGTTAGACCGCATGTTATTTCAATGTATTCTTAAACTATACTTTGGTTCCACATATATCACATACATTAAAATAGATTCCAAAGAGAAATAATTGAGCATTAAGTTGAAAAACAAATAGTAGGATTTCACCCCAACCAAAATTAAGCACATTGCCCAAACATGGAAGTAAACTACTCAAAGGATTATGTAAGCTGCCAAACCAACACAAAAGAAACTATTTTCTTTCAAATTTGATTTGCAAGGGTGGGGGGAACAATGAAGGAGCTGCATCTCTTAAGATCCAGTGTCATTTATAAAATCTTCAATGAAAAATAAGGCACCTAAAGACTACATTGAACAAGGTTACATACGAAGAAAACAATTTATAAAGACACAATTAGGAAATTAAACCAACTTATCAATACACTGTATCAATGTATTTCTCATGTTCTCTCATTACATTTTTTAAATGAGTCTGATCAAATGTTTTAACAATGTAATAAAGAACTGTGTTTACTCATCTGAAATTACTTATTGGTAAAAGAAGATAAATCATGCTAGCAAGTACTCAAACCCAGTGTAAAAGCCATCCCAGTAAGACATGTATATCAGAGGCCTTCATATGACATGTTTTTGAGGGGCAACCCATTACATGCTTTACAATAAATAAGAACATCTTACTCTGCACAGAAAATAACCTTCCTAATGCCAACAGGAAGAGGACAAAAATATTTGGTACAGTATCTTATGACATAATTTTGTTGCACAGTTCTCTAGAAGGGTCATGCCTGATGAATTTGTAGTACAGTAAGACTCCCGTATCAGCAGTGAATCCATTCCACAATCTACTGTGAATGCCTGAATCTATGGACAGGAGAGAACCCTATATAAAACCTACAAGGAGGTGAGACAAAGGCCACAAGGCCTGCCCCCTTGTACTATACTCCATACAAGACTGAGATAAACTGTGGATAACTGAAACTGTTTCCAATCCTGTGACTACAGAGGAACTAATAAACACAATGTATCATAAAGTAGGCACTCCCACATCTTGCCCCAGAAAGCAAGCATCTGAGCTCCAACCTCAGATGTGGAGGTCTTATATTCAAATATGTTTGCCTAATAAGTCTTCTATGTATCCCTAGGCAAGTCATCATAACCCTCTTAAACTGATGCTTCTCCCCTGAATTCATGCACTGTTTTCATGCTCCCATCACCACGGGGAGAACACAGATCTCTCACTGCAGATTCCTCTACATGTACTACTCCCACAAGAGGAAGATACCAGAGTACGAGAGAGCCCTTCTCTCTCAAAGAAACATGTTGTCCAAGATTGCCTAATACTACTACTAAGGTCCTCTGGAGAAGATGAGAATACAAATATAAGAAATTTTATAAAGAAAATCATATTGTGCAGGTACTGATCCATGTTAAAAAAAACTGTTGATATTTATTGTTCAAGTTATTTAAAAGGCAGTCAAATCAAAATGTTGGAAAAGGTGAGATGGCTCAGTTTTTCTCCTCAACTGACAAAACAATAACAAATTCAGTGATAGTTAGACTGCCTTCTGGATTCTCAACAACTGGGCTGTAAAATCATGACCCCCTTACCTTGGTGAAGGTTCCAATGGACTAAGTGAGATGGTTTTTAAGTAAACTTGTAGAAGATAGCAGCGTTAACTTCCACTCAAATATTTCTGGTTCACAAAAGCCCTTTTCAGGTGTTTATTTCAGTGTTCAATCAATGTGCAAGGATGGTGAGAATGCTGACAAGCACACTAGTTCTACCCTCCCCTTCATTCATTATCATCCTTGCTCCCCTCCAGGATACTGAGAATGAAATTCTGCAGCAGCATTTTCTATCTGGCTGCAGAACCAGTGGTTGGGAGTTCATTTCCCAGTGTGCCTCCCTGGCAGGGGCTGCATGTGATGATCCATAGGGTCCCTTTCAGCTCTGCAGTTCTAAGATATTTATAAAGATTGTTACCTAAGCAGGCTATCCACTGTAGGAATTCACACTCAGCACCTGAAGGAAGACAAGAATGGTGAGGAGTGGGAACTATTGTGTTCATCCTAACCATCCCCTCAACACACACCCTGTACATTCATTATCCTGAATCAAAATTCAGATGACAGCAGTGGAACATTTAAAATCAGTAGCATTATATGTTGTACTGTACCTTTTGATAAACTACAGAGCAGACAAGGTCTTTGACAACAGACAGGGAGAGCTCTTGAGCTTCAACTGTAACAGTCTCGCGAGTGAGGCCAATCTGCAGGAGAAAGGAGATTCCATGCACTGATCCCCTGGAATTGGTGAGGCTTGGAGTGCTGAAGCTGCCATTGGACAATCGTCCTGAGAGCCCAGACTGTGGACTTGAAGATAAAGAAGGGGTAGGTGGAGCAGCAGCATGGGACACAGATGGGGAAAATTTCTGTACAGATGGAGGAGAAGATTCGTTTGATGACATCTGACTTGATTTAAATCCGTCAAAACCTGTCCAACAGTCAAGAAAATTTGTTGCTTTTTTGTTTACTCTGCAATGTTGCAAGTGAAATCTTGTGTTTCCCTTCTACAATTCAGGATAATTTCCTCCTGTCAAAGTCATCGTCATCTTCCTTTTCATTCTGTGCATAATGATGTTTAAGATTATTTTGGCCAGAAGTTATTTTAATGAAAGGTCCTCTTTGCACAGCTTCACGTCAGCTGATCAAAAATGCTTTGCCTTTAGCACCACATCCAGATGTTGGGAGAGGCTTACATCATTATGAAACTGTTCTCTTCAGAAGTAGAAATAGGCATTGTTTTTTCACAGACACTCTTCTTTCCACTATGTTCCAAACAACCTTAGACTTTGTTTAGGGTAGAAAGCCTCTCAAATACCACATTTAGAAGTACTGTCTTTGATGAATCTGCTTTGCAAAAGTTCTTCCCATATGTGCAAATCACAGTGATCATGAAGAAGAAAATAAGGTTAGCCTCAAGGATCTCCAGGCTTTCATTTTTTTTGGAGGATGCTCATCTTACGAAAGGAAGGAACAAAATTTCTATGAACACAAGTACTGCAAACAGAGGTGGAGGGTTCACAATGGTAATCTGCAGCATTTTGAGCTGTAATGTATTGCCTAGTGGGGGAAAAAAAACAAAATTTATTTCACATATCCTAAGAATGTTACATAACACCACAATCAGCCTACTTAAAAGCAGAAATGATACCGTAGTCAAAATGCTTGTGTCACTATCTAGTTCTCCTTTCATTTTTAGATGAAAGGTACTTCATATCCTTTAGGAAGAAACCAGATCTCAATGGTACAGGCTTTGCATGCAAACAGTCCAATATCCTGGGGATCTCCACTTTAGAAGATGAGGCACCAAGTGAGGTGGAACATCTCTTTCTGAGAATTTGCAGTGCTGTTGCCACACCAAATAAGAATGCAATCCTAACTATAGTTATATTCAAAATGTTGCGACATCAACATACATGGATGAACCATAGAAAATACAGTAGATATACTGTGAAGAAAAGTTACACCAAAATAATCAGCACTGTACACAGAAAAAAATTAAGAAGTATTTTAAAGATCTGCAATATGTTGGCTTTTTTGGCAATATGTGGGCATCCATATACAAAAATTCCTCAACCAGAAGACCAAATAACTAGGTTTTCACTTAAATAACTCTCCTCCCCAACAGTCATGCAGTAAATATTTTGTTTCCCTTTGTGGATATTAGGAGGCTTTTTCCCCCAGAACACTTTCAACTAAAAAAATAAGTACTGAAAATGTAATATCAAATCTTTCTTCTACAGCTAAAATATGTTATTTACATCTGCATTTCTCAATAATTTTACTATAGACACATAAGCATCCTAGTTCCCACTGAGTCTTTGCATTAAGCAGGAAGCAATCTCAGAAACAAAGTAGAATTTAGCTTGGTCTAAAGTACACAATCCAGAATGTGTTCTCTCCCCAATAAATACAATTGTCTTCTGCAGTCCAGATGCAAAAGGAATCAAGACAGAGTGAACATTCATCATGTTTTCATATGCATTCTAAACTGCAAGAATGGCAATTTTTTAATTATTTAGAACAGTATTCATTCTTACAACTCCCTCTTTTTTCAACTTTTATGATCCTCTCTAAATCATTTATCACAATTCTAACGAAACCAATAAAGTTTCTACAGTAACTACTACCAAGAGACACAAAGCACATTTTAAGCTTTATAATATTGGATTGTTCCTCCATCATTAACAAGGAAAACTACTACATGTTTCCCTTCCCTTCCGAAATGATGCATCATTCTGCAGTTCTTTTAACTTTCCTAAAATGTGTTGCTTTTTTAAAAAACTGAAAACAGTATAATGTGCTATGAAATAACATCAAATGGGTAATTTAAATCTTTTCAGAACTATAGTAAACATAACTTCTGTTCTTCAAACACATAAACAGTTTCCATCAGCAGTCATATATTTTAATTGATATTTTAAGATGGTTCTGTTCTGGCTTATACAGTAGGGGTGGGAAACTTGTAGTCTTCCAGACTTCGAACTTGATTTGTTACACTGCAGGTCTCACCAGCCTTAGCCAACAGCTCAGTTGGCTAAGGCTGAGCCCCCAAGGCTCAGTCCTGGGCCTGGTACTCTTCAATATTTTCAAAAAAGGCAAATGCTATTTTAGGCTGCAGTAATAGAAGTATAGTTTCCAAATCCCACAAGGTGCTAGCCCCCTTCTATTCAGCACTGGTTAGGTGCTGTACCTTGAGTACCTTGAGTACTGTGTCCAGTTCTGGACAACGACACTTCAAGAAGGATGCTAACAAATTGGAACAAGTTCAGAGGAGGACAACAAGGATGATCAGGGGGGTGGAAACCAAGCCTTATGAGAAAAGGCTGAAAGAACTGGACATGTTTAGCCTTGAGAAAAGAAGACTGAGGGGTGAAAATATTTGAAAGGCTGTCATTCAGAGGAAGGACAAGATCTGTTCTTGACCATCCCAAAGTGTAGGAAATGCAGCAATGGGCTCAAGTTAAAGGAAGCCAGGTTTCAGTTGAATATCAGGAAAAAATTTCCTGTTAGAGCAGTACAACAGTGGAAACAGTTACCTTGGAAGTTGGTGAGTGCTCCAACACTGGAGGCATTCAAGAAAAACTTAGATAATCACCTGGCAGATATGCTTTGATTGCATTCCTGCGTTGAGCAGGGGGTTGGATTTGATGGCCTTGTAGGCCCCTTTCAACTTCATTTTTCTATGATTCTGTGATAGCCAGTGGTGAGTGATCCCCTTTCAACTTCATTTTTCTATGATTCTGTGATAGCCAGTGGTGAGTGATGGTGTGAGTTAGACACCTAGAAGGCCACAATTTGCCCACCCATGTTACAGAAGAAGCAAATTTGTAGATTATAACAGAAACAATCACTTACAGCACAAAAGAGAGCCAATTTAAGTTGTTGTTTTAGAAACTTTCTTCCAGTTCCACATTTCAGGAACTGCAGAGTTAGCCCAAATTTCTAAGAAGAAACATATTATAATAGAAGTTCTATGGTAGTTAACATCAAATCATGGAAATAGCAAAGACAAGAGAGCTATTTAATGCCCACCTCATACATAAGCAGTAAATATTTCCACCTAGAGGGGAAGCAAAGAAATCCTTCCAATGGCAACCACTTGCAATTTATGAAATGCTTGCTTCTGGGGGTTTCAAACCTTGTAATGGGCTTTGAGGAAATCATGGCTGAAGCTTAACAGAGCATATGCAACAGAACCAGCTATTTCCATATATGTGAATCCTGGTCATAATTTATACTCCTGTTTCTTCAATGCATTGCTAAAGCTACACAAATAAACTAAATTTAGTGCATACCGTCATGTAGTAAGATACCTATATCAGTTACCGTATTTTTCCATCTATAAGATGCCACTTTTTCCTAAAATCATTACCCTAAAAATTGAGGAGCGTCTTTTACACAGAAGTAAGCTGAGATAGCTGAGGAGAGAACAAAACAGCACATACCTTGCCTCTCTAAAGAGGCTTGCTTCAGCCACGAGGCTTAGTTTCCTGCAGCCAGAAGACTTAGCTTCCTCCAATCATGAGCCTTATGGAACTGATGTCAGCTGACCCTGAACAAACCAACTGGAACACACCTCCTTGGAGATGGATCCTGTAGCCTCAAGATTCAACAAAGACAAAATGTCCAATGTTCTCAACCCAGAAGCTGAATCCCCAAAGATAAGTTTTCTTAATTTTGGGGTTAGAAACTTGGGGGGGGGGGGTCCCTTATTAAACAAAAAAATACAGTATTTACAGGATTGTATGTACATTTCTCTAACATTACAAATGAATATATGTTAAATCTACTTAGGCAAGAATACTGTAGGTATCTCTGCCAGGTAAAGGAGAGCCTTCTAAACACAGGAAAAAGTGTCACATACTGTACAACTTTATTTTGTAAATGTTGGTCAGTTTTCACTGTGGCTGGTAGGGAGAAAGTATAGCAATCAATGGTGGGCAGACATAGGGCAAAAATGGATGTTCCATATACAGTTGTGTTCAAAATTATTCAGCCCCCAATGCTGTAAAGGGGTTTAGGGACTATAGTGTACATTTGGAATTGTATTCAGAATGAAATCCTACAAGGACGTTTTAAAGAACCAAATGCAACTAAAATAACATCAATTGTTTATGTAATACAGTAGTAAATGTTTCTTTTGTGGTTTCTTCATTGCCACAATTATTCAACCCCTTAAAGACTACCACTCTGAAGAAGAGAGGTTCATTCAGGTGTTTTCGATCAGGTATTGAAAACACCTGTGGATGTCACCGAGCACCAATCAAGCATAATAAGCACCAATTAGGCAGCTTTAAAATGACTGTGATACTCAGCTCCTTCTAGACATTTACTGGTGTGGTTACAAACATGGTGAAGTCAAGAGAATGGTCCAGGAAGACAAGAGAAGAGGTGATTTGTCTTCACAGGAAGGGCAATGGCTATAAGAAGATTGCAAAGAAGTTAAACATACCAAGAGACACCATAGGAAGCATCATTCGCAAATTCAAGGCAAAGGGCACTGTTGAAATGCTACCTGGTCGTGGAAGAAAGAAGATGCTGACTTCGACTGCTGTGCGCTACCTAAAGCGTAGAGTGGTGAAAAGTCCCCGTGTGACTGCTGAGGAACTGAAAAAAGATTTGTCAGATGTGGGTATAGAAGTTTCAGCTCAGACAATAAGGCGCACACTGCGTAATGAAGGTCTCCATGCCAGAACCCCCAGGCGCACCCCCTTGCTGTCTCCCAAGAATAAGAAGAGTCGACTGCAGTATGCCAAAAGTCATGTGGGCAAACCACAAAAGTTGTGGGATAGTGTTCTGTGGACTGATGAAACAAAATTAGAACTGTTTGGGCCCATGGATCAACGCTATGTTTGGAGGAGGAAGAACAAGGCATATGACGAAAAGAACACCTTGCCTACTGTGAAGCATGGCGGAGGGTCAATAATGCTTTGGGGCTGTTTTGCTTCTGCAGGTACAGGGAAGCTTCAGCGTGTACAAGGTACCATGAATTCTCTTCAGTACCAGGAGATATTGGATGAAAATGTGATGCAGTCCGTCACACACCTGAGGCTTGGGAGACGTTGGACCTTTCAACAGGACAATGATCCCAAGCATACCTCCCAGTCCACTAGAGCATGGTTGCAGAGGAAAGGCTGGAACATTTTGGAGTGGCCATCGCAGTCACCAGACTTAAATCCGATTGAGAACCTCTGGTGGGACTTAAAGAAAGCAGTTGCAGTGCGCAAGCCTAAGAATTTGACTGAACTGGAGGCTTTTGCCCATGAAGAATGGGCGAAGATACCCGTAGATCGCTGCAAGACACTTGTGTCATGCTATGCTTCACGTTTAAAAGCTGTTATAACTGTAAAAGGATGTTGTACTAAGTACTAAGATTGAATGACACTTGGGGGTTGAATAAAAACTAATAATGATGTGAGCACAGAAAAGACATTTGTGGTTATTTCATTATAAACTTAAGGTTATATTTCTCTGACCTACAAGTGCCTCTTTCATGTAAATGTAAGCAAGATGACTGAATGATCAAAATCAATGTCAAAATGGCCAAAACATTCAAT